AAATCCAATTTTCTTTTGTTTGGGGAGAATCCGATGGCGATTCTTGCCGTCCAGAGGAAGGATCTATAGTTCTAAAAGGAGAAACCAGATGATGACACGTGGATGTGTATTATTGGATAGTGTTGAATGTGACAAAACCACGACACGTTAATTCAACGTGGCTAAAAGGGCAATTATTTACCCAACACACACAAACAAAGCAATGAGAAAATCATAGACCAATACTATAAGTAAATTTATAAAATAAATTATTTTATTGTTTTAATTAAATGATTTTTCTGAGGGAAAAAAAAAACTTTCATGGCTTATTAAATTGAGAAAAATTTCCAATTCATTTGTTTTTGGATAACTTTTTCTTAACTAAAGGTGTGACTTGTGTGTTTAACGGAAGAAAAGTAGTTCTATTGGTCTACCATAAAAAAATTGTATGTTTGATATTTTTGTTTTTCGTTGAAAGAAAATTTTTGATTTTGTATTGAATATATATTATCTCAGGTCAGGTTATTAAATATATGTTTGATTTTTGTGTTCTGGGATCTGAATCACCTTAGTTTATTTGTTTGTATCTGGTTTCTCTCCATATGGTTTGTATTTGTTGTCTGTGTATGTTCATCTGTTGAGTTCAAATGATGTCTAAGCACGCACACTTGAGCCAAGTCGAGAGTGATTACAAAGGTAGATTTGAGACAGAGAGCAGCTAGAGAAGGTAATGAGACCCTCGATTTATTGCTTTATCGATTATTTATAACATCATTTGTTGCCTAGCTCTAGTAACCGGTTTGGTGGCATCATTTTCATCTTATCTTGAGGGTGTTGGATGTAGGCCTTAACTGCTGCCATGGTATTGTTGCACTCAACCTTATGATCATATACGATATTTTGAATATACTTTGATTGCTTTCTTGAATAGATTAGTCCATCCGTCTTTAAATAATAAGAGGAGTATAATTTCCCATCTATCTTCAGTTTTGTTTTCTTAGTGGGAAGTGACGATGCCGAGTCGGTGTCCGGTCTAGTTTTCAAAACATTGGCTAAAACCTATACCTTTTAGCAGTTTCACAAAGTATGTCTCATCTTTCTGAGAACAAGAAATTGTCCATTTTTCTCAAACCATAGTATCACCACGCAATATACATTCGTGTATATGCATTTTTTTTTTGTATACTTGCGACTCGTAAGAGTAGGGATTAGTGATATTGGTTGCTTCAAGAGATGCAATTTCCATACAAACTCTGTAGTTCCTACCTATAATCCTCCAGTACCAATATTTAGGTATTTTAACCAAAATATAACGGCCACTAAGTTTTTTTTTTCTTTTTAAAGTAATTCGTTGCTGTGGCTAGAAATTTTACAGTAGTTTAAAGACATTTTAAGGGATTACAGTGAAGTGATTTTGTTAAGAGTGTTTGATCCATGGAAGTAGACATCAGTGGTATTTTAACTATGGTTTTTTATTGTCCTAGTGCTCATTGAACGATAACATTCTCACATGTTTCTCTTGAAATTCTTTTGTTCCAGAGGGGTTGACGATTCGGGAACCAGTAACATGATAGAGGAAAGCCAGGAAATAATTTCTAAAGTTCCTGCCGGTGTGTCAGGAACGGCGCTAGCAGCTTCACTCTTACGTGATGGATGGAGTGTGAATTTCAGTCTCAGTATATTAGTCCCGTTTATCACCGTCTCAACTCTGCTGGTGGTGTCTTT